CATCCATCCATCCATCCATCCATCCGTCCATCCATCCATCCATCATTCCAGTCTTTTTGTCTCCATAGTAACGTAGTAACCCTGTTTGTATTCATTCTATAAATGGAATGGAACCTTAACGTAGAAAAGTATTTATAGAATGTTCTGAGCTGTGGTTCAGATCTATTTCCTCAGTTGAAGCTGCATCAGATGCTAAACATCTAAAAGCTGAAGCAGACTTAGAAGATTAGCCAGGGGAGAAGATGGTGGCCAATCAGAGGCCATGGAGTGACCCTACCTGAGGTGGCGGCCATCACCGCGGAGCTCCTCAGGTAGGTGTTTGCTGGGACGTGGAAGCAGTGCAGCTCATTGCACACAAAGGTGCCTTTCCTGGCCTGTTTCCTGGCGATGTGGACCATGTAGGCGTAGAGAGAGCAGATGGTGAGGACGGGCCCCGCTACGCTGACCACCACCCACAGAACCACAAAGCTCCGGTTTTCAGGAGTGAACTCTACACAGCAGAGGAATCGAGACTTGCTGTAAGCATAGCTGCCGAAGCCCAGCAGGGGCAGAGTGGCGTTCAGCAGGCAGAAGAACCAGACCAGGACCAGCAGGACCCAGCTCCTCCTGCTGGTCCACATGCTGCGGTAACTCAGGGCAAAGCAGAGGGCAGAGAACCTGTCCACCGTGGCCCAGGTGAGGGACTGGAGAGAGGAGGCCTGCAAGAGGAGGAGGATGAAGCCGCTGCCCTGACAGAACACCCCCTGGCTGGGGTACACAGCAGGCCAGGACAGGCTGTTGTAGGCTCCAAAGGGAATGACGGAGAGCCCGGTCGCCAGGTCGCTGAGGCTGAAGCTCAGGGTGAGGCACAGAGTGTCTGACTGAAGCTCTTTGTTGAGCAGCAGCACCGTCAGGATGAAGAGGTTTCCACAGACGGCTGCTGAAGCCGACAGGACCATGAGCGCAGCGTACAGCGTCCTCAGAGCAGCCTCCATCTTCAGATGGTGGCGCCGAAGCTTCTGCTGCTCTGTGAGCTCGGCAGGTCCAGCCCGCCTCCTTGTTGCTCCCTCCTCAGAGCAGCAGGGCGTAGATAAGGTCTGATGAGTCACAGCATGAAGCTGGAGCAGGCTTCAAACCAGGCGGCTCCTATCGTCCTTCCCCTGATTTCAGAATAATCTGGGTGTTCTCCTTCGGTACGGTTCTGATCTTCAGAAGAAGTCAGCAGCCGATCCCAGGTTTTCTTCCTCGCTGTTCAGGTTTAGTGGTGCAGGACTGAAGGTCCAGAGACATTCCCGACCTCCACCGCTGCTCTGCTGAACATAGACTCTATGAGCTGTCTCCGTCTGCAATTATGTCTCCATGGAGACGGTCACCATGGTCTGCATGTCCATCGCCTGCTGGGATGATGATGATGACATGCATAGAAACAAACAGCAAGTTATCTGGTAGCAGCAAAGTCAACAGTGGCTGGAGGTTTAATATCCTGTGTGTGTTTGAGGGGGAGGATGGAGGGTTAAACTACCTCTCTGAGGAAAGCCGATCAGTCTCACCAAATGGGTTCAGGGTCCACAGCAGGTCGGTCTTTCTCTTTGATCAGGTAATGTCCTCACAAACATAGCAGATGCTGCTGTGTGTGTGCGATCAGCTGAGTCTGGTAATAACAGGTGTGTGATCATCATCATCATCACGTTGCTGGACCTCAGACCTCTGACTGCCCACGGCGGGTTCTGTTTGTCTGCCATGACTTCATGGCTGCGTCATCAGATCCAGCGATCGGAGCAGCTGACCATGAGGAGCAGACACCTCTGACCTGCTGGTTCCTGAGGACACGTCCTTATTTCAGCCGCTTTCATTCTTTGGCTCACATTCATTAAAGCTCTGGTAGCTTTGTTTATTCTTACAGGTTCACATTAAACCCGACTAGAACTCTGAAGCCCGTTCTGTTAGCCAGCACAGGGTCAAAGGTGAACACAGGAGGTCACAAATTAATACACCTTAACTGATAACGGACACAGTGCAGAAATTGTTCTTGAATAAGGTATTTACTCTTGTTTGAGTCGGTCAGTCAGATATTGGCTAAAGGAATAAAATTGTTCAGTTTAAAATAATAATATAAAACAATCCACTGGACTTTGTTTCCAAGTTTGAAGACGTTTCTCTTCAATCCAGGAAGCTTTTTCAATTCTAAATGTCAGAAATAGTGTTGAGTTCCAGGTTTTATACAGTAGCCCAACAAAGCCTTGTTTTAGTTTAGAAAACATGCAAATAGAAACGGATGAACAGGTCCACCCCTTTGGAATGGGGGTCGTCTGTCTTCTTTGTTAGCCTGCAATCCCCCATACCTGTCTATGTCTCTCTATGTCGTTAGAGGGAATTGTCTGCCTAGCTGAAAAGGTGAGGTCGTCTGTTCTCCTGTAAAGGGGTGGGGGCTGCGATCAACTCAATCGCTACACCTCAGAGGACGTAGACTCAGATTTCTGAAGTGTATTAATAACTTTCTCATCTGAGAAAGTTATTAATACACTTCGGTTATTTTGGGTCTGAATAATAACTTAATAAATTCCGTAAAAACATATACAGTGAAGAAGAAAATGGGGAATAAGCGTGAGGAAGAGCAGCGGGATAAAGCTCAACGATCAGCAGCCGTTAGTCATTTGGAGCAGTTAGTGTGACATTCATTTGTTTGTCATGTCAACCCCTAAAAAGGATTCTGATAGCTTCCTAACTGAACAGGACAGAAACATAATGGATCATTCTTCCCGTTGAAGGGTGGGTTCTGTAGTGAAGGGTGTAAAATGATCTTGATTTTCCTCATGCACTCGTATTCTTCCTGCTGCAAGTTGTTGATCTTCCGGTTTCTCTGTTTTCCCGCAGCATAACGCTCCAATCCCTCAAGGCGGCCGCGGAGCGATCCAGTTTGTCACTCAGTACCAGCACTCCTCCGGACAAAGACGCATCCGAGTCACCACCACTGCACGCAAGTAAGGCGGCCGGCTGCTCTCATTACTCAGACTCTGAGTAATTCATAGAGGGAGTTAAAAGTTAGAGAGTTAAAACTGAGGCAGATTGCATCATCATTTCTCCCACATTTAATTTCACTTCTTAGTATTGAGAAGTAGGGGTGTAGGAAAAAAATCAGTTTGGCAATATATCGTGATTTTTGGCATTCCAACATAATATTGCTCCTTAAGTTTCTAATATCGATTTGATTTTGTATTTTTTTTAAATACATTTTTCCCTAAAACAATGGGGGAATATGCACTGCTTCCACACCCCCGCTCCGGTAGATGGGGCCTTGGAGCCCTTTTGCTGTGCATGTAGTAGAGGCAATCACAGTAGCAGATGCTGAGTGACATAATCCCCAAACAACATGGATACCAAAAAAACAAAATAACTGAATAATGAATATCTTCTACTGAATATACAGCACTTTTTTTTTTTTTCTTGTTTTTGCCCTGGTAACCATCAACAACTTTGAGCAGCTGGCTAATTTAAACACCCACTGACCTTCATGCTTCGATTGAGAATGGGACCTGTACAATGCCCTGGCCACCCCACTCGCCAGTGTAAATTGTAGCAGCATCAGTTTAGCATTTCATCCCATTCTGCACAGCCAGCGACGTAACATTAAAAATCCCACAATAAACCAAGATCTGAGCAGGTGTTTACTGAAGTCTTTATGATTTCTACAGGCAGGTTTACCACAATAGTAGATTCAAAGCCTGAAATGATGGCTTTTAGCTTCAGTGGCCACCCCAAGACTTTTAGTGGCCCCATCTGGCCCCCCCTAGGAAACATTTCTGGACGCGCCACTGGCTCCAACCCTCTGTGGGTGGCGATGTTGCAGGTGTTTCTCCACATTTACAGCTGGCGATGTGTGTTTCAGCTGGGCCGATGCTCAGACTCAGATCCAGAGCATAGCAGCGTCGTTCGATCAGGAGGCGGCGGCCATCTTGATGGCCAGGCTGGCGGTTTACCGAGCAGAAACGGAGGAGGGACCTGACGTACTCCGCTGGTTGGACAGACAGCTGATTAGGCTGGTAGGAGACACCGTCTGCTGGGTCCAAACACCATGTGGTGGGTTCTAACAGAACCTGGAGCCTGAGTCAGTTTGCTCTCATGTTTTGTTTGCAGTGTCAGAAGTTTGGAGATTACCATAAGGATGACCCGAACTCCTTCAGGTTCTCAGAGACCTTCTCCCTCTACCCTCAGGTGATGTTCTGCTAATGACCTTGTGTCCAGATGTCTGGGCTTTCTTCTCCAACATGTTCTGTCCTTTTCTCTGCAGTTCATGTTCCACCTGCGGCGCTCCCCGTTTCTTCAGGTCTTTAACAACAGTCCTGATGAAAGCTCCTACTACCGACACCACTTCAACAGGCAGGACCTGACCCAGGCCCTCATCATGATCCAGCCTGTGCTTTACGCCTACTCCTTCAACGGACCTCCTGAGGTCTGGAAACACCCTCTGCGCTTTTAACCATCACAGAAGAACAGGCCACTTCCTTTTTGTCCCTTAGAGGCCTCTGTAGTCAGAAGCTTCCAGATGACGGTCAATAGTCAGTACACAAACAGCTCCTTCACTGCCCTCTAGCTGTAGACTGACGCCATGATGGTGAAGCTGAAGATAAAGGAACCGTATTAAATGAACAGTCAGAACTTTGTAGAACCACCTGCTGTTCCAGATGGTTCTCTACCAGCGTTAAACTTTTACAGACTGAAATATTTGCTTTATAAATCAGCTCAAACTGACTAGACAGATTGGAGAACGTTCCATGTTGGCTTCAGGCTTGGATGGGAAGCCCGGTTCTTTACGGTTTTCCCAATTTTTTATGGGAAGCCCGGTTCTTAACAGGGAACCCTGGTTCTTTGCAGGTAGCCCGGTTCATTGCTGTTAGCCCGGTTTATTGCTGTTAGCCCGGTTCATTGCTGTTTGCCCGGTTCTTTGCGTTGAGCCCGGTTTGTTACTGTTAGTTCAGTTCATGGTTGTTAACCTGGTTTTTTGTTGTTAGCCCGGTTCGTTGCTTTTAGCCTGGTTCATTGCTGTTAGCCCGGTTCTTTTTGGTAAGCCTGGTTCGTTGCTGTTAGCTCAGTAATGGCTGTTAGCCCAGTTCATGGTTGTTAGCCCGGTTCTTTGCGGTGAACCCGGTTTTTTGCAGTGACATCGGCTCTTTCCTTTTAGCCCGGTGAGCCTGGTTTGTTGCTCTTAGCATGGTTCGTTGCGGCAAGCCTTTTTTTTTTACATTGACCCTTGATTTTACGTAATTACATCATGTTCTACTCACCCATATGAGTTTTGTGTCATTTGGAGCCGTTCTGAAGATATTCCGTTAGGTTATATCCAGGCAACATCTTCCTATAGGCAACGACTTGAAGGCACAAACTAAACTGTTCATAATTTATCATTTATGGTACGCCAGCATTCATAACATGTAGGCGAATCACTGTCCCCCAGACATCCGCGGTTATACTTTTTAAATTTACATTTTTTTAAAACAAAGCGTGTATACACACACAAAGGAGTGTGTATGACGTCATCCACGCACGCCGGCTAGCATTCATTCATCCTGTCCGCTGAACTGCTGCTAGTTTTACTTACATGCCTGGAAGATGTCTAGTGTTGCTACCACAGATGATGGTAGATTATCACGTCTCCTTCTGCAAACTTGCTGCATGCACTTAACTAGCGTATCTGCCTGTGGCCCGGGCTGCCTGTCACAACTCCAGTCCGGCGCACGGATGACGTCATAAACACTCTGCTTTGTTTAAAAAAAATATAAATATAAAAAATATAACCGCGGATGTCTGGGGGACAGTGATTCGCCTACATGTTATGAATGCTGGCGTACCATAAAGAATAAATTATGAACAGTTTAGTTTGTGCCTTCAAGTCGTTGCCTATAGGAAGAAGTTGCTTGGATTACAAAACCGAATATCTTCAGAACAGCTCCAAATGACACAAAACCAATATGGGTGATTAGAACATGATGTAATAACGTAAAATCAAGCGCCCAATGTAAACAAAACGGCGTTCCCCTATAAGGCTTTGATCTGTTGTCTGATCAGATTGT